TACACATCCATTTTGACACGTCGCACAACACAATCAACAATCTCCTCACTGTAAAACAAGGTGACAGGAAAAGGGAAACAGGAAAAGGTAGTGGTGTATCTCAGGAAGTCTTTTTCATTGGATGCCTCCGTAGTCAATAAAAAAAAATGCGCATAAAACGCCAAGCAAAAGTGTCAAAAACGTGCTAAAACGCATAAAAAATGCCCCACAAAACCGCGCATATGAAATACGCTCAGGTGTGAACCCAGCCTAAGTGTTGTGCATGTACAGTGTGGTCAGGGTTCTTAGAATTGTGGCCGCTCAGGTGTTGTGCTAAGTGCCGCTCATGCGCAGTGTGGCCGGGGTGCTCAGTATTGTGCCCCCTGAGGTGTCTTGCTAAGTGTTGTGCATGCACAGTGTGGTCAGGGTTCTTAGAATTGTGGCCGCTCAGGTGTTGTGCTAAGTGCCGCTCATGCGCAGTGTGGCCGGGGTGCTCAGTATTGTGCCCCCTGAGGTGTCTTGCTAAGTGTTGTGCATGCACAGTGTGGTCAGGGTTCTTAGAATTGTGCCCGCTCAGGTGTTGTGCTAAGTGCCGCTCATGCGCAGTGTGGCCGTGGTGCTCAGTATTGTGCCCCCTGAGGTGTCTTGCTAAGTGTTGTGCATGCACAGTGTGGTCAGGGTTCTTAGAATTGTGCCCGCTCAGGTGTTGTGCTAAGTGCCGCTCATGCGCAGTGTGGCCGTGGTGCTCAGTATTGTGCCCACTGAGGTGTCTTGCTAAGTGTTGTGCATGCAGTGTGGTCAGGGTTCTTAGAATTGTGCCCGCTCAAGTGTTGTGCTAAGTGCCGCACATGCGCAGTGTGTGCGGGGTTCTCAGTATTGTGCCCGCTCAGGTGTCTTGCTATGTGTTGTGTAAGCACAGTGTGGCCGGGGTTCTGAGTATTCTGCCTGCTCAGGTATCTTGCGAAGTGCTGGGCACATGCAGTGTTGTTGTGCTAAGTGTCGCTTGTAGTGTGGTTGGGGTCCTCATTGTGCCCACTCAAGTGCCGTGTATATCCCATACTTGCGCACTGTGGCTGGATGTGCAAGGAATCATGCAGGGTATAGTCCCAAAGCACTGAACATACCATAACAATGGCACATGTTGTGTTCCATACTGGAAGTCAGTTACCAGGAAGCAGCAGAGAGGGATACAGCCAGGTGTTTCAATTGGCGTATGTGAGTGTTTTGCGGGAAAAGTAGAAAGACACGGCAATAGAGACAAAACATTTATTTGCATTGAGGGTTAAACACTTCTTGAATATTGTTTGTTTCCAGCAATGATCGGGGTCAGGTGTGGCCCTCGCCGTCTCCTTGCCGTGACATTGCACACAATTAATTATTTAACCTGCAGTAACCGAGGCGGCACACCAACCCTTCCCGCCCGTTATTACTTTCCTCATCAGCTGATCACCTGCACAGGGTGGGGGTGAGTCTCTCTCTGATTGGCTGGGCTCGACGCCCTTGTTTTTGTTTGGTTTAACAGAGGAGGTGGGTCCAGGGCTGCTCTCTGATTGGTTGGCAGTGACAGCGTGGCGGGGGGAGTGTTCCATGCTGCTGGCTCAATGTTTCTATTGTGTGTGCAGGGGAACCAAAACAGTGTGACACACCGCCGGCCTCACAGGGGGGATCGGGGGCCTTAGGGCCATCAATACAATCCAAACACAATGCACTGGAGCTGTAACCAGAGAACTGACCTGATCACATAGCACAGAGGCCGAGTCATGATAACAATGCAGGGAAGAGTACAATGGTGGAGAGATGAGTGTATATTGATAGAAATCTTTATCCGAAGCTGATCTCTGATGTGTGAGCTCTTAGCTGATGGTGGAGCTGTGATCACATACAGGTGCAGCGATTGTGTGTGACTGTAAACAAAGCTCTCCCGTCATTATACATGAACAGGGACATTGGCTGATGTACCATGAGACTCAATAGATAGGTCTTGTACTGTCCGGGGGAAGGCCGCACTATGCATGTGAATGGGGTGTCATTATACGGTAATAAGTCCTAGTCGAAGGTGGTACTCTCATCTGATGAATAACCATAATGCATATCAATGGCCACCATCAGATACATATGAATGTGGAGTGTAGATCAGAGCTGCGAGTGATTGGCTGGGCAGATCTGCACTCGGATTAGCAACATCCATATGAATGGAGAGCCCGGGGACATGGGGCACCATGCAGGGGGACGAGGAGACTTCATGTCTACAGAACATCAGTACTAACAAATGTGGAGGCGACCATTGCTTGCTTGATAATGCCCATGTCCTCAGGTGTGAGTGCAGCACACAGGGTAGCTGTACTGTCTGCCAGCAATCAGTAGTGTGCAGATGATGTGCCTGGCTCTATAATGATTAGGATTGCTTTGCTCTGTATGCATAGGAGTACCTGGTTCTGTATTAATATATGATTAGGATTGCCTGAGTGACTTGCTATATATGACTAGGAGTACCTGGATAATATATGACTGGGAGTACCCGGATAATATATAACTAGGAGTACCTGGATAATATATGACTAGGAGTACCCGACTATATATGACTACGAGTACCTGGATAATATATGACTAGGAGTACCCGGATGATATATGACTAGGAGTACCCGGATAATATATGACTAGGAGTACCCGGATAATATATGACTAGGAGTACCCAGGTAATATATGACTAGGAGTACCTGGATAATATATGACTAGGAGTACCCGGATAATATATGACTAGGAGTACCCAGGTATATTCGGGGTCAGGTGTGGCCCTCGCCGTCTCCTTGCCGTGACATTGCACACAATTAATTATTTAACCTGCAGTAACCGAGGCGGCACACCAACCCTTCCCGCCCGTTATTACTTTCCTCATCAGCTGATCACCTGCACAGGGTGGGGGTGAGTCTCTCTCTGATTGGCTGGGCTCGACGCCCTTGTTTTTGTTTGGTTTAACAGAGGAGGTGGGTCCAGGGCTGCTCTCTGATTGGTTGGCAGTGACAGCGTGGCGGGGGGAGTGTTCCATGCTGCTGGCTCAATGTTTCTATTGTGTGTGCAGGGGAACCAAAACAGTGTGACACACCGCCGGCCTCACAGGGGGGATCGGGGGCCTTAGGGCCATCAATACAATCCAAACACAATGCACTGGAGCTGTAACCAGAGAACTGACCTGATCACATAGCACAGAGGCCGAGTCATGATAACAATGCAGGGAAGAGTACAATGGTGGAGAGATGAGTGTATATTGATAGAAATCTTTATCCGAAGCTGATCTCTGATGTGTGAGCTCTTAGCTGATGGTGGAGCTGTGATCACATACAGGTGCAGCGATTGTGTGTGACTGTAAACAAAGCTCTCCCGTCATTATACATGAACAGGGACATTGGCTGATGTACCATGAGACTCAATAGATAGGTCTTGTACTGTCCGGGGGAAGGCCGCACTATGCATGTGAATGGGGTGTCATTATACGGTAATAAGTCCTAGTCGAAGGTGGTACTCTCATCTGATGAATAACCATAATGCATATCAATGGCCACCATCAGATACATATGAATGTGGAGTGTAGATCAGAGCTGCGAGTGATTGGCTGGGCAGATCTGCACTCGGATTAGCAACATCCATATGAATGGAGAGCCCGGGGACATGGGGCACCATGCAGGGGGACGAGGAGACTTCATGTCTACAGAACATCAGTACTAACAAATGTGGAGGCGACCATTGCTTGCTTGATAATGCCCATGTCCTCAGGTGTGAGTGCAGCACACAGGGTAGCTGTACTGTCTGCCAGCAATCAGTAGTGTGCAGATGATGTGCCTGGCTCTATAATGATTAGGATTGCTTTGCTCTGTATGCATAGGAGTACCTGGTTCTGTATTAATATATGATTAGGATTGCCTGAGTGACTTGCTATATATGACTAGGAGTACCTGGATAATATATGACTGGGAGTACCCGGATAATATATAACTAGGAGTACCTGGATAATATATGACTAGGAGTACCCGACTATATATGACTACGAGTACCTGGATAATATATGACTAGGAGTACCCGGATGATATATGACTAGGAGTACCCGGATAATATATGACTAGGAGTACCCGGATAATATATGACTAGGAGTACCCAGGTAATATATGACTAGGAGTACCTGGATAATATATGACTAGGAGTACCCGGATAATATATGACTAGGAGTACCCAGGTAATATATGACTAGGAGTACCCGACTATATATCACTACGAGTACCTGGATAATATATGACTAGGAGTACCCAGATAATATATGACTAGGAGTACCTGGATAATCTATGACTAGGAGTACCTGGATAATATATGACTAGGAGTACCCTGCTATATATGACTAAGAGTACCTGGATAATATATGACTAGGGGTACCTGGATAATATATGACTAGGGGTACCTGGATAATATATGACTAGGAGTACCTGGATAATATATGACTAGGAGTAGCTGGATAATATATGAATAGGATTGCTTTGCTCTGTATTCATATATGACTAGGATTGCCTGGATAATACATGACTTGGAGTACCTCCCTGTATAATAATATATGAATAGCAGTGACTTGCTGTTGCTGTATATGACTAGGAGTACCTGAATAATATATGAATAGGAGTGCCTGGCTATATATGAATATGAGTGACTTGCTATATATGAATAGGAGTGCCTGGCTCTGTATTAATATATGACTAGGATTGCCTGGATAACACATGACTTGGAGTACCTCCCTGTATAATAATATATGAATAGCAGTACCTGGCTGTATAATAATATATGAATAGGAGTGACTTGCTGTTGCTGTATATGACTGGGAGTACCTGGATAATATATGATTTGGATTGCTTTGCTCTGTATGCATAGGAGTACCTGGCTCTAATATATGACTAGGATTGCCTGGCTCCCTGTGGCCAGCCTCAGTCTGGGGAATGGGGGTGTGTAATGGGAGATCTCCATAGACTTGTATGGTTGGGATCGCCTAGCTCCGCCCGCCCATCTCTCAGTCTCCTCTGACACAGGAGGGTAGGAACCTTCAGATCGGCGGAACGAGAAGTCATTCGGTGTGTACACATTGACCATGGCAGCCGGAGCGGCTTTATCCGGGGTGAAGGTGAGTGTGGACCGGGGTGGGGGTCATGTGTACATCGTACAGAGATCTGTGTGTGATCATCTATATATCTTCATACATGTGATCAGTGTCATCATGTGTATCCAATACACTGTTATCTGCCTGGAATCGATCATCAATCAGCCAGTATCTGCCTGTCATCTCTTCTTTGTATCCCTGAAGTTAAAGGGACAGATAACCCTAAAATGGTGTCAGTTTGGGTAGATCTCCATCTGCTTATATCCATCATCAGCTCTGTTTTTGGGGTCACCAGTTCACTCCAGCTCTTGTTCCAGTGACAAGATCTGGCTCTGCCTGTGAGATTTTTATTGATTGTGGCTTAGTTTAAATGCAGCAGGAGGAGTAAGACTGCAATGGAAAGTACAGATGTTGGGATGTGCAGTAAAGATTATATGATATCCGAATACAGTGGCAGCATTGAGAAGTGTGTCCGGTCTACAATCACAGGATTTCTGGAAGGCTCCATTCATCGCTGTTGGAGAATTTCTTACCTGGTATTTAAAATACACAAATGCCCAGTGACCACGGGACAAGAGAGGGAAAATCTATGTAATGGGGACACAGACGAGCTCCAAACCTTCCCAGTGGAGGAGAAAGTTTTTAGGCTGGAGTCGGGCTCTAAGCTGGGGCAGAGCTGAGCCGCACGCCGTGCGATCAGACCACTGTCACAGATTAGGGTGAATTTACAAAAACTGGAGCAGCTGTGCACAGTAACCAATCAGCTTCCCTCTTCAGTTTGTTCATTAAAGCTTTAGAAATTGAAAGCTAGAAGCGGATTGGTTGCTGTGTACAACTACTCCAGATTCTCCTACAGTGTAGTTGCTGTTAGATCTAAACAACAATCCACTGTAACACTTATAGACTGCTCATTCAGACATACCGCAGGTGGAGAATATATACTGTGGGGGGAATTCATCAAAACTGGAGCAGATCAAATCTGGAGCAGTTGCCTATGCTAACCAATTAGCTTCTCTCTTCAGTTCAGTTAAGCCTTGAAAATGAAAGGTGGATGCTGATTGGTTGCCATGCACAGCTGCTCCAAAACTGGCATCAAACCTTTTTTTCCCCTTGTTGTCAGAGGAAGTAGTGCTCCCTGCTCCACATATGTGTCTATCATCCTGTAGTCGTAGTCTCCATTCAGGTATCGTGAACGCGTGTCGAACATGCACAAAAGTGCGCCTTTGACACGCGCACATGAACCCCCCACCAAAAGCACAAAGTGATTGCCGTGCCATTGCTAGTTAATTGCACTGCAAACATGCACCAACGCATGTGAAAAAAATACGGAATACATGTCTCAGAATTTACTAAGGTGCACCCACTGAAATCAATGGGGATGAGTGTCAAACGTGGGAAACAAACGCCCATGAATGCACTGCAGTATGTGTTCCTGTTATACCTATGTGTGTATGGGGCCTTAGACTGAATGGTTCGTGTCTTTAAAGGGGATCCAAAGAAAGGTGAAAGTTGTCACGTTGTACTTGGAATGCTTTAAGTTCCTGTCTAACCAGTTTGACGTCCTATTGAGGGTTCTGCGAGCTCCTACATCTGGTGTGGTGACAGTAATGGGATACGAGTGGATGGGGGGTAAACTGGGCAAGCTAGGCAGATTTTCCCCTGACAGTATATCAGTACCAGGTAGGTGACGGCTTTGGCAGCTTTTATCTACCGTCTGCTCCTCTTTACACACAAACCTGTCCATCCTTTACCAGTGATATCACTCTGCTCCTCTCTTGTCATCACACCATGGATGATTTAAATTCCAATGTAACCCACACTACCTGCCATTGTTATAAATCAGTGCTTTTCATCTGACACATTGCTTCCTAGAGAGAGACTTCTCCAAGGTCACCCCTGTGACACACACTATACGTACAGAGTCAAGTTTACCTACACCGAGCGTTCACACAACAGTGTATGGTGCTTGTTGACATGGTGATAACACACTGCTAAAAATGAGTTCTAACTCTATGTTGGCTATTTGTGCTTTACAATGAGATGCGTGACACAAGTCATATGACATTTGTTTTATTGGGTGAGCACATTTCTGAGAGGACGGATTACAGGCATATATTTCTATATTGTGCTGGTGATGTTCCTATCTTTTGTATCAATGCAGTTATCACATGGAGCACAAGTTGTATCATGTTCAGCAAAGTTCTCGCCAGCTTTGTCACATACATGAGGTAATTATACAGACGCTGGAGGCAAAACTGGAGACTAGAGGAAAAGAAGAGGAGGCATTCAACCAGATTTCATAGTTCACCATATCAGTCCATGAGAAGGAAGGACAGCGGGAATCGGGGGAACTGAAGCCAAAACCTTTTTTTTGTTAGTTTTGGATAGAGTGGAGCGGTATTAGGACACTGTTAGGATTTTCTTGCTGTCTGTGTCCCCATAGGGGAGAATTATGTTCTCCATTTGTCCTGGTGACCGTTCATACTGAAAGTGAAAAAAAAATCCCACATTTTGGGTTGTCACCAGAACAGACAGAGATAGGAAATCTTCCAATGGGGACACTAGTTCTGGTGACCCTGGTGTAAACTGCTTCTAAATGCTGCGGTATCCCCTGGTTAATCTATTGCAAATAATGACTTTCAGGAAGTGGATATTTGTATATGCCTAGGCACCCATGTGACATAGCTCCGGATTATGCTGCCACACAGGTTTACTTTAATGGGCAAGTTCACTTTGCAGGCCATGTTTCATGTTACAGCCATATTCAGCGTGTAACATGAAATATAAGGTCACGTTCATTCTTCCTTCCATCCGTATTACAGAACGTCTGTTCCAAGGCACGGACATGGACGGGAGAAAGAGTCTTCAGGAGCCAGAGCATTGCACCCACTGATAAGTCGCAATGCTTTAGGGGCTTATATGCAAAAAATAATGAATGCACATTTTTTCTTTTATGAAGTTTTTTTTTTTTTTTTATATATACTTTGGCTTTGAAACAATTTAAAGCAGCTAGACCAGCCTTTCTCAACCTTTTTTACCCCTGAGGAACACCTAAAATAATTTTCAGGTTCCTAGGGAACCCCTGCTAACAAATCTGCCTATAGCTCATGGTGCATTGGTGTGATCAATACATTGAAGAAGGTTTTATATAAAAGAATAGAAAGTGTGGCCTACCTAGAGTATGTGACACACAGGGCAGATCATTCTGTTACCAGCACCTTACAAAAATATTTCCAGTAATAGAAAATACAAGTAATACAAATATTTTCAGTCAGTGTAGACGTAACCCCTTACATTGGGGATTAGTGGGACATTTCCCACTTGCTTAGGTGGGAGATCAATGCACCATTGCTCAAGGAACCTGCTAACCTCAGGAGGGACCTTGCTTGACAAACGCAGAGCTAGACAGTGCAAGCTATCGTCTGATTGCTCACTAATGGAAACTGAATACACCATGTTCATTATAGTACATTATAGCCACCAGATGGAGCCGAGAAGCATCGGAAATTCCTATTGTCCTTGGCTCCATCTAGTGGCCGTAATGCTCTCTGATTCTTGTTTGCATGGCTGTTCAGTATGTGAATGGTTTATAGGTTACCTCCCACATATTCAGTAGGTTTTGTGCAGTTGCTGTGTGACATATTTTATCCTATTAAATTTAATAGGCATCACCTGATCTGTGCACATTAACAGATATGAATGCTGTGCAAAAACCAGTCAGGGTACTTTTTTGGTATTTAAATTCAAGACTGCATAAATGTGTACAGATCACGCAATTTCAATTGTAACCGGACACGTTTCACAGAAATCGAGATGCAGTCAACATTCTCTCTCCCAGCTGTATATTGCCAGGAGCCATTAATTTATTAATGAGAACCAGCATATAATGTTGTAGGTGAAACCTGATACTGATGAGCACTAAACTATTATCAGGGCTCAGGCACTCCAGCAGTTTCCATGGCAGGACACCAGTCCACACAGGACTAAAACTGTAGTTAATGGTTGACACTGGACAGTTCAAGTCAATCTCAGTCCCCATTCACACCTAGGCATTGAGGGGATGCGTGTCATGGTCACACGTGTTCCTGCACATTTGTGGCCACATGTTTCCCATGTTTGGCCCCATTGAGTCCCTGGACACGTGCCAAATACAGGAACATGGTATACACAAATTTTGTGACATGTTCCGCAATTTTCCCCCCGTGCGTCTGTGCACGTTCACATGCGGGAAAACACCGCATTTGCTCGGCTGTATTTGGGATGCCATTAACTAGTAATGGCACTGCAAGTGCGTTCTGCATATAGTATGCGTGCACCTATGCCCGGACGTTTGCTGCGGTTTACGCGCGTTCACGGAACACAATCGGGTGACTGGGGCAATATTTTTGTTAGTTTGGAGTGCTGACTCCCCGTCAGGTGTTTATTGCTGTCTTTATCTCTGCTGGGGGTATTCCCCCTTTCTCTATATCTCTGCTGGGGGTATTCCCCCTTTCTCCATATCTCTGCTGGGGGTATTCCCCCTTTCTCTATATCTCTGCTGGGGGTATTCCCCCTTTCTCTATATCTCTGCTGGGGGTATTCCCCCTTTCTCTATATCTTTGCTGGGGGTATTACCCCTTTCTCTATATCTCTGCTGGGGGTATTCCCCCTTTCTCTATATCTCTGCTGGGGGTATTCCCCCTTTCTCTATATCTCTGCTGGGGGTATTCCCCCTTTCTCTATATCTCTGCTGGGGGTATTCCCCCTTTCTCTATATCTCTGCTGGGGGTATTCCCCCTTTCTCTATATCTCTGCTGGGGGTATTCCCCCTTTCTCTATATCTCTGCTGGGGGTATTCCCCCTTTCTCTATATCTCTGCTGGGGGTATTCCCCCTTTCTCTATATCTCTGCTGGGGGTATTCCCCCTTTCTCTATATCTTTGCTGGAGGTATTCCCCCTTTCTCTATATCTTTGCTGGAGGCATTCCCCTTTCTACTGCTGATAACTGTCATCGCAACAGGAAGTCCTACATTTTATAGTTGTCA